TAAACAGAATTTAATAATTTCGAATTTTGAGGAAGACTCAGAGTTACCGTTTAATTTTGAAATTTCTCTGGCAATGGCTTGCTTCCTCTCTTCAACGCCAACTTTCATTTCGTCCTTTTATAACCGTCACTTATATAGAGTACAACAAGTGGCTGACGAAATTGCCAGGAGTATGAAGGAAGCGGGTTTTTCTCGTCAAGATGAAGATTCTGTAAAACTTCATCTTACTTTAATGAACACAAGATATGCGGTAAGTTTCTTTCTTGGCCTTTTGATTTATCATGCCTATGTTAGTTGCTGTCTCATCGCTATTATCATTAAAAAAAAATTTATTTGAAAATGCGCTGTCCATTAATAGTGCTGTAGCCGTTTAGAACATCAGAAGTCTTTCAATCGTTTACTTGTTGCTGCGTGGCCTCTTTGAAATTAAATTGAGGAGTGGACGTGAGTTGACTCCCATTTATTTCGCATTTTCAGTCGCCCTCCAAGTTTCAGTGCTAATAACTACAGCACAACTTTACTATGCGAGTAATTGATCTGATGGCATCTATTGAGCAACTGAATTATTTTTTCATTTAAAAGCAGTTCAAAATAACATTATTTTTAAGTCTTAAAATATTACTTCAGACTCGGAGACAGTCTAGAGGGGGAAAACAGAAAAAAGCGCTCAAAAGGAAGAAGGCGAGTTTCTTGCTGTGATACAAGGATTTCCGAATTTTTTACAAGGATTTATCGTTTTCTTTTAAGTGCATATTGAAATGAGGTAATTAAAAGTAGAGGAGAGAGGGGCATTCACTAGATGGCACAGTTGCTGCAATGTTTGGTTTGTTTAAATTAGAGGGACGTTTGTAGAGACTCTTTCTGCTACTGCCGTTCTTAGTAGTTCACCTTCCGCTCTCTCTTTGGCAGTGGTCCCAAGCAAGGGAAAATGTACTTATGACTATTTACTGCGCATATTTCCATTAATGGTGGAAGGTTTTTAAGTCTGTAGCCTTTTAATCACAGTAAAGGTTGCAATTTCTTCTAAAGTACTTTATGATTGGTCTCTTCTTTCACGGCGTTTGGACTTCCTTTTTATCTGATGATGATTTTTAGAGTAACGACTTTGTGGTGTAAGATCATAGCCACTCTCTTAGGGAACTCTAGATGAGCGGTCTTTGCTTTCTGTAACTTTTTGTTGCAGTGGGAAAAAGGGAAGAGGATTTATATGGACGTAACCAAACTGATGGAGAAATACAGTGACTTTGATTTTGGGAAGTTTACTGTTACAGAGGTGGGTATGCTCTTTGTTGGTTCCTGCTTCTAGACATTTCAAGATGTGCCCTTCATTTCTATGCAGTTGTAGATTCACATATCAAGCCTTAACGACCCGAAAGGTGAAGATGGGTACTACAGAAGTATTGCATCAATAAAGCTGTGAATGGCAGAGGGGTCCGCAACTCGTTTCCAGATTTCCAATGTTCCGTGAAGAGCGGGTTCTCCCACTGGGCATGAAAGAAATTTCTGCTGAAATGTATCTATATGTTTGTTCTTTGTTGTGCACGAAATTGTATTAGCAAGTGTTCTTTCCATAGAGTTCTCTGCTAATATTTTTCCTAACAAGAGAGGGGTCTTAGAAGTACGTAGTTAAAAAGTCGCTTTGGTTCTGAGTTTCGGAGGTGTGGGTTCTTAGGCGGCCACGAAGGCGTAGGAGATGTCGGTAGAAGAAGCAAACACCACTTTGTACGTGTCTTTATATCATCTTCACAGGGAACGAGGGGTAACAATTACACAATCCTAATATCATTTTCGAGGTTTAAATGTTTGCGAATACTTGTGAAGTGGTGAATAAGGACATTAGAAATTAATAAATGTTACGGAAGTACCTCTTTGAGGCTCCTCCAGTGCGCTTAAATATTTTTGGAAATACAAGGCATACACCATATTTGAAAGACGACGTAAATCACAAAGCTGCGGTCAACTCTACTGACAAAAACTTAAAACCATTTGTTTGAAGTGCACCAGTTAATAGCGGCATCACAGAGGTGAAAAAAAAAAAAAAAAAAAA